TCCTTGGCTGCTTGATGCAGTGGGTATGTTCGTCGGAATCCACAGAATCCACTCCACTTGGAACAGTTGAGATTGAGGTTATCTTCGCTGTGTCGGAAGCTGTGCTTCTGGAGAAAGACTAGGACCTTGGACTTCGCACGTGCCACTTGGCATCGCCTCGAAGCCTGCAGTCTGGCTTCTTGAGCCTTCTTCCTCAGCTGGCTGAGAATGGAAGTTTAGAAATTTGAAATAGCGACAGAAGCTTCACGAGTCCCTTGAACAAAGAACACCAAAGAAGCCAACCTAGTGACATTCCCTGAAGCGCTTCGGCCACAGCTAGTTTCCCGCAACAGCTCGTAAACTCATCGCCCGAGCAAAGCTTGAAGTGTCCTCCGATCCTCACTTTCAAAGACAACACAGAATCAATGCACTTGAGCTTTCCTTCCAAGCGACCTGCATGCGACTTTTACACGGCTCGTCTTAAAAAAACTCTACGTAGATTGTAAAGTTTTAAGGGGCCATAGGCCCTTGATGCAGCCCAACTCCCTGATGTTGTGAGCTTTACCTCCTAACAACAAGAAACCAGCAACAAATCATAAAGGTGGTCGTCTCAAAATCCATGATCCCCTTTAGGGTGCCCCTCCTCGAGCAGCTAGTGTTACTTGTCACAGTAAGTACTAGTCATGAATCTTACTATAGGCCTTGTGGAGGAGGGCTGAAGGGGGATCTGATTCTGAGACATGACCAGCCTGGCCAGTTAGCCTGAGGCACTTTTGAAACACATATGTAGATGCCATGGCTTCTGGCCTGCTTGCCGCTTCGTCCAGCGGCCAAAAGGTGGATTGCACTTTTCTTCTTACCGGCGCTGCTTGTTCTCCATCAGTCTTGCAATTGAAAGGTGCTCATAGAATTAATTATGGCATTCGATTCCAGAGATCCTTCAAGGTTCCTCTAAGACAGCAGGGTTGCAAATTCTGAGCACAACCACGAGGACAAGTCTGAGCCTATAGCTGCGAGCAAATGGCCAAAGAAACGAGCATTGCTACGGCCTGACTTTCAAGGTTTAAGCCTGTATCGGGCTTCAGGAACTTTGGGAGGGTTAGGTTCCGGACTTTGGGCCTCTGTGCCACAGTGCAGTGTGGGAGTTGAATGGCTGGTGACTGGTACACTTGGTTCACCCAATTTTCTTCCATAAGTGAGTAGATCCAACGTAAGACACCTTAAAGCCCACCTCACACAAGACCTGAGTATCGTGCCAGCTCCTGCCTGAGGCCATGTAGTCAGCGATATCCTGCACAGTCCCGAAGGCCAAGGCCCCTTCTTTTAGCTTTGTCAGCCATGGCGCTGAAAGGCAGGCAGTCGCCTAAGCTGCGCGACATCCGAAGCCATACGTGTGGCCCGAATCTTGTGGTTGACGTGGAAAAGCAAAGTATATTCACCTACATTATAACGGGGCGAAACCTGATAGGAGCCACGAAGCCGAGTGCGAACACGTGACACCTACGTGTCCAAGATAGCACGCGCCGCGCGCAATACAGTTTGCGTAACTTGAATTCGGCGCCCCCAACAGATAAAGGATCCTCTCCTATGCTCCTTTCCAGTCCTCTCCACTCCGTTCCACTCCTCTCCTATCCTCTCCGCGCCTGCACTTACCTCGCCACTCCTTTCCACTATGCACTCTCCACTCCTCTCTTCTCTCTCTTGCTTCGCTCCTCCGTCTCCTCTCTCTTTTCTCTCTCTTCTCCCTCTCTTCCCTCTCTTCTCTCTCTCTCTCTC